TTTCTTCCCGACTTGTAAAAAATCCTTACGTGATAGAAACAAAAAAGAATCTTATTTTCGAAATTTGCGTAGCTGAATTATGGAAAATCCGTTATTAAAACCAAAACAACTTTTATGAAGTTTAAATTCGCCGGCTTGTATTATTTATGCACAACTTGCTTACTGATGCATGACTCTGTTGGTCACAGGGTACCCAATAAGATGTAAATCACGTAAAAATATTAAACTGTCATCAGTACCTTGGTCAATCCGATTAATTACTACTAGGATGTTCTTTGTATTTAATGTAGACAATGAGTGATTTTCGCCCAATATTTTGGTCAGTTCTTTACACCGAATGCTGTAACAGACACATGACATGAAGTGTTACTCACTATGATGCAATATTTGGACCCACCACCGGTGTATAAACAACTTTCTATGTATCCAAACATTATGTATAAAAAGTTTGAACGTGTTGATTAGATTAATGAAGCAGAAAGCTTGGTTCATTATGTAAACACCAAACTTGTACTTATCTTAATTATCATCAAAGCAGTCAAAACTACCATGGCAACAGTAAACCAAAAATAAAACCCAATTTTCGAATGACTAAACATGGACAAGATTTAAGGTTTTTAAACCATACAATTAACTGAGATTTACCAATAATCAGTAAAGTAGAATAATTAAATCACTATTTACGTCACATTCCGCCCCCCCCCCCCCCAGTGGCACAGCGGTATGTTTCCATACCCGTGCTGGGCAGAGCAAAGATAGCCCATTGTGTAGCTTTGTGCTTAATAACAAACAACAACAAACTACCTTTTACTAGCCCCCCCCCCAGATGCACAGCGGTATGTCTGTGGACTTACAACGCTAGAAACCGGGTTTCGATACCTGTGGTGGACAAAGCACAGATAGCCCATTGTGTAGCTTTGTGCTTACCAGCAAACACATAAAATGGAACACCAAACTACACAATGGGATGTTCTCTGCAGTTCTGATGTCACAAACTTGTCCACTAACGTTCAAACTGCAGGAACCCTCTTCATCACCAAACAACAGTTGTTGAATGATAGTTTTTTTTACACACAGAACTGACAAGAAGACAGAAGCTATCATAGAATTAGCCACAGTTTGTCTAAAGTCCGCATAACTTCAATACAACAACAATTTCTTTGAACAAGCCCCCAGTAGCATAACGGTATGTCTGCGGACTTACAACGCTAGAAACCGGTTTTCGATACTCGTGGTGGGCAGAGCACAGATAGCCCATTGTGTAGCTTTGTCCATAACTACAAACAAACAAACGTCATATTCCTTCGAGTAAGCTCGGCTCTCCAGAGTCTGTCCTTTAGCTAGTAGGGACATCCGTCTCTTCCCCGGAAGGAACAGGGAATTTGACCGGTATAAAACATCTGAACTCTTTCCCCGATAAAGATCATCAGACTTTCAGATTCTAGGCTATTAAGTTGATCTTACAGTAAATCACAAATTATTAACCAATTGCGTCACATTTACCGAGATTCTACAGTAGTAATTTTCGTTCGTGACCATCACAGCGTAAGCAGAGACGTAAAGTGATCGTTGTTGTTAACATATTAGCTAGAGCAGTGGATGTTGCCGTAAACTGATTCTGGCAACTGTAAGGAAAGAATGTTGCCCGACTTGTAGTGTCGTTATAAGACACTTAATGTGCCATGAACAGAAGCCAGCTAATACAGTCTTATTCTTGTAGTTCTTATGGTTTAATGATCCCTCTTGGAATGAAAGAAAACCATATAGTTCACTGTTGTGTTCACGTATTAATGTTGCCCGACTTGTAGTGTCGTTATAAGGCACTTAATGTGCCATGAACAGAAGCCAGCTAATACAGCTAATAAACACGTTGTAAAGAACTGTCGTGACGAATTTTTATTATTTGTATAAATAAAGCAAATTATTTCAATTAAAAAGTTGATGTGTGAAAATCAGTAGTGTGTATTTCTAACAAGCTATACACCTGATGAATCGGCTAGCTTGCTTCTACATAGTGTGAAACTGTTGGATATTGGTAAAAACTACTTACACCAACAATGTGTAATATTTCACACCTGTTGCTCGTAATCATAAAGGATTCTCGTCTCGTTAGTTAAAGCCCGATATTCCGAAAATTGAACGTAAAAAACAATTACACATTTAGGCCTAATGTTCATTCAGGTTTTTATATTACATAAACAGTAGTGTGAATACGACGTTATATTAGGGACATTATCATTACCTATATTATTGTTAACCGTAAATAAAGCTTTCTAATCTTTTGAACAGTTACGTCAATATTATCATCATAATAATAATATCGCCACCAATATTATCATTATTATCTAAACAGGATGAAAAAGTTGAATAACAATATAAGCTAACTGCGGTACATTATTAATGGCGGGAATTTTTCGGAATATCGGTCTGTCATTGGCTCGTTGGCATGATGTGTTCTGTAGACTTCCACGTAAGGTGTTGAAATGAGAAACCTTCATGATGAGATATAACTTGTTTTTTTCTTTTATTCACAGTCCAACCCGACTTAACACAAAACGTTTTGAGTGTATCCCCACACATACGAGATGGAAGTCATAACGAGTTACACAGTAATGAAAAGTCGGGTCTACTGCCCGCTCGAATAAACCCCCTCCTCCCTACTCAACGATGTAATACTCCCAGCTCAACAGAAAAACTCCCATGTACGGAGTCATCGAATTCTGGACCTTCGTCAGCGTCTGGTAAGTCTTGTATAGCCGTACTCAAAATAATATATTTCTTATCACATATTATAAAAGTATTGTTACTTAAACGAAAGCGCTATAAAGTTTCGAGAATTAAGTGTTCCGAATTGTGTGAGAATTAACTTTAGCGCCATCTATGAAATGCGTAAGTTCCAACACCACTTGGCAAAAGCTGACGTTTTTAAATTGAGTGATAACACTTCCGAAAGTGAACCCTTCTGTTTGTCTGTCTAGAAATATAAAATAAGTTTAAAATACTAAGTAACACCAAAGAGATTTCGAAGTAAGGAGTATCATCGTGTAAAATAAGTTTTGTTGCTATGTGACTATATAATATAAATATTTCTAATTATAAACAGCTCTCTGTTTTTAAACCTCAAAATGTAGGAAACGAAAAAAGAAACATATATATATATATATATATATATGAAATAAAGATTTTTTCTATAAATAAATATTTGCTATTATAAGTACTTATCTATTTCAAAGTTTAGTTTTAGGGTTTCTGAATATCTGTGTAATCTGGCTACAGGATCCGAGTACGAATCAGACACGATATCAAACCGGAACTCAGTGGCATCTGCTGTGCTGCCCCCTGGCGTCGATATTGAGTGTTTAGCGTGGAAAGTTGTCACTAAAGCTGGAGCTAGAATATCACTGCCACATTCCGGTAATTTTTTAGAAGTTTAAGATGCTCATGTTTGAAGGTTGACCATTTAAAATACTTGAGCTCCAAAGTATCGTTTTTAGCTTTAACTGTTCAACAGCCATTTAATTTATTAATATATTAAGAGAGTTCTTTAGGAGTGTTCTTGCAAAGAAATTCTAAATATGTAATGCCATGATAGTTGTTTCTAGAAAAATATATTGCTTAATAAGAACTTTGAGACAAACGCATTTATTATTTTGATTATCAGTTAAATGACACACCTAAAAGCTTTCTCTTTCTTTGGAATTTTGTTTTTACTTCCCTAACATAGCAGGTCATTTATATCATAAGTTAACGTGTTATTTCTTCAGGAATAACAGTTACTGTACCCAAGGGTGCAATAAAGAAAGGAGCTAAGGAGGAAGTTTATGTGGCTCTCTTAAGAGAAGACAAAGATCGGCCAAGGTTAACTGGTAAGCATTCAAATGGCAGTTGAAGTGCTTATAGCTTAGCTGTCGTTGTGTGTCCTGTCTTGTGTTTGGGGAAGCCTGTAGAGCAAGTGTTATATATATAATCCACTTTCGATTGGTGTTTGAAGAAGGCTTGGCAAACAATTATGTAAAATTTAAACCTAGAATAACACCATGTTGCTAATTTACAAAGATTTTAATGAATAGTTAACGCTATTTTCACACGGTTTATGCAAGATATTCATGTGCACCTGGATGGCTTGTTTTTTTTTTGTATAATTTAATATTTACACAAATTCCTATTCATGATTTTCTAATATTTTCTATTCAGTATTAATTTTCGTTAAAACGTATTAAGTATATCTAAGTTATCTTATATAATATATAGAATACGTACGTATCTAATGAATACTTTAAAATACAATAAAATCATCATTAATCGTCTAAATAGAATTATTTTTCTAGGATTTTTAAGTTTCTCGTGATAAAAGTTTTAGTGGTCTGTCTAAAACCAAAAGTCATTTCTTCTGAAACTCCAAGCAGAATGAGATAATAGTTTTTTTTCCTATTTAAGAGTGTTTTTTTTTAATCCTGCAGTAAGAACAGCGAGACAACTTTTCTTTTTCTTAACGGGGCGCCTTTCACAAAAGTAATAACATTTTGACAACAACACAAAAAAACTTTTTATTATTCTACAGAGAAACAAACTATTCTCAGTCCTGTTGTTCAAGTTGGGCCTCCTGGTGTCAACTTACAAAAACCACTGATCATCAGTTTTCAACACTGTGCTAACCTTAATCCTAACAAATGGAACTTGAGTGTCTTCTTCAGCGATTTTTCTGAAGACGAAGGAGAGGATTCGATGTGGAGGGTAAGTCACACCAAACGTGCCAACCTCTGATTTTTTACATCATTTTCAAGAGTATTTTTAAAAGTATTATGGAACATTCAAGGAATAACAATGACTTTAAAGAGTTAACAACAGGTGAACGTTTGGGAAAATTCGCAAAAAATAAGGACTCTAAAATATCTTACAATCGCTGTTTTTATACGTATAATCTTACCGCGAACTTGCTCAAATAATAGTTATTCATTGGCTATATCTTAGAACATTGTTGAACATAATTACGCATTGTCAAACGAATTTGACAGCAAACAAAGGCACTTAAAACTGAGAAAATAATTAACAATAATTTTTAATCGATAATGGTATTTCTTTAAATGTGTGACCGATAATTTAGCCCGTTATACATTAGTTGGAGAATAAACAATAATTTTTAATAAATAATGGTGTTTCTTTAAATGTATGTGAATTTTTTTTCCAGTGATAAAATAAAAAATGTTTCGTGCAATATAAATGAATTATTATATTTTATTCATTTGGTATTTTTATATTATTTTAGGAGATTGTTACACTAGGTCAAGAGACTATCAATACACCTCTTTACTGTCAATTAGATGCTCAACAGTGCCACCTAGTGACCGATAATTTAGCCCGTTATACATTAGTTGGAGAATCGTTACCTGAACAAAAAGCCATTAAGTCTCTTACATTGGCAGCGTTTTCTCCAGCATTGCACTCATCTATGGATTACAGCATACGTCTGTATTGTGTGGAAAATACCAAAGCCGCATTGCAGGTTTGTGCAGTTTTCCCCTTCTGAAAGTATAGCGTCGTGATTAATAAGTCTTGTACATGTTCGAATATCTCGAACGATTTGAACTTCAACTTTTAAACACGTTCAATCAGTTCCTATAGAGTCAAATAAGTAATTTATTTATCCAGCTTGTGATTGAAAGTGTAGTAGTATATTAGAAAATTAGTTTTTAACATATTTGAACACTTTCACGAAGTTCTTATCTTGTTTAGTCCAGGTGTGGTCATTCTTTTATTTCAGGAGTCCGAAATTTCACCACTTGCCTATATATATATATATCTGAGTATCACATTATAAAACATCTAAGAACAATCAAAACAAGGAAGTGGTTATCTTTAGGTGGACATTTTGTGAAACCCAACCAACTTTGTCACTTTGACGTAACAAATGTTGCACGAGGTAGTCAAAATGCAAACATATTTGTCGCAATTTTTTTAAAACGATTATTGCTATTTCGAAAGCCAGAAATTCCTTCACTTAAGCCTAACTAAGCAATTAAATATAGACTAGCGTCAATCGCAGTTATATTACAGCCTTGTTAAAAATTTTCCGTATTTACTGTGAACAATGTAGCCTTGATCTTGCAAAGAACTTTCGAAACTTTACACTTATAAATATAAATGTATTATTATTATTGTCACTCGATATAATTTCTCTTAAAGTTATATTTTAAAGAATGGGTGTAACATTATTTGTTGTTTAAAAAAAAATCACGCGTCTGTTATTCTGATTTGTTCACTTCCCAGGGAGTGGTTGAAGTGGAACGAGAGTTGGGTGGAAAATTATTAGATACTCCCAAATTGATGTGGTACCAGGATGGAGGATCCAATCTCTGTTTCTGCCTGGAGGACATAGGCCCTGGATGGCGGTGCAAGCCTGGTGCTAATTATCAGGTGTGTCTTCTTTCATTAGTTGACAAATGTTTTAAGCTACTAGTATTACAGAAATCTTAGTTGTCTTTAATTCGTGTTACTGTCAATACATTTTAAGATGGCTGTCAGATATGTACATCGCATCCTTCCCGGTTGCTTAGCCGTAAATCTGGGGGCTTATAACGCTAAAGATCGGGTTTTGGTTCCTGTTGTTGGCAAAGCAGAGATGCCCAATGTGTAGCTTTGTGTCTAACGACAGGCTTGGCGTGTCCTGCCTTGGTGGTTAGGGCGTTAGACTCGCAATGTGCGGGTCAAGAGTTCGAATCCCCCGTCACCGAACATCCTCGCCCTTTCAGCCGTGGAAGTGTTATAACATGACGGTCAATTCACTATTCGTTGGTAAGAGTAGCCCAAGAGTTAGTGGTGTTGACTAGCTGCCTTCCCTCTAGTCTATCACTGCTAAATTAGGGACGGGTAGCGCAGATAGCCTTCAAGTAGGTTTGAGCGGAATTCAAAAACAAACAAACATACACTGCCATCTGATGACAGCAATACATACTACCTTTTAATAGTATAGGTGAATGTAACTATAAGAATAATTTTTTCTATAAGAATGACTTTTTTTTTTACTGAATCGCGTTTAATTACAATGAGTTGTCTTTAACTTTGTACAACATTGGTATAACCGACAAGTACAGACTGTAGAGTGCCACCAAGTCAGAGAGACCGAAACACACAAACTTGTTTCGAAACAAATACTTTTAATACAGTCCTGTATTCTGTTTTTACTGTTATTTTATTTTGCTTGGTCAGCTGCTGATGACGAAATTTGTACACCTTTAGGAGATTCCGTTCCAGCATGTGTGGAGTGGAACACAGAACCAACTCCATTGTTCTTTCACGTTAGAGCACGTGGACCGCTCACTTCAGACAATTCGATGTCATATTCTGGTGTATCAACGAGGCGTTCAGGCACATCGCCAGTTACTCCGAATCAACACTGACTTGCGTGATGTAAGCGGCTTAAGTTTACTAATCTTAAATTAAACAGGCCTGCGATGGTTTTATTGTTAACACAGGCCTACGATGGTTTTATTGTCTTGATATTTTTACATGTTATACAGTAATTCCTGTACGCGGAATCCGAAAATGATATCCATTTTTATCCATCACGTACAGATTTTTCACAAAACGTCATAACGCAATACATAAAAAAAAGGACCACAACACGTAGTTTTGAGACTAAAAGACGTAGATTTTACAAAACAAATCAGGATGAATATTCGTTTGACATCAATGTTCTTCCCTTATCTTCAGTTTGTTTGTATTTTTATTAACAAACATAATAATAGAAAATGTTCATAGTGGTAAACGAAATAATAATTTGATCTAAGAAAGAGTTTTTTCTTCTTCCCGATTTGTAAAAAATCCTTACGTGATAGAAAAAAATGAATTATATTTTCGAAATCTGCGTAGCTGAATTATGGAGAATCCGTTTTTAAAACCAAAACAACTTTTATGAAGTTTAAATTCGCAGGCCTGTGTTATTTGACATAACTAATTTAATAATGCATTTTTCTTATGTAGAAAGTTGTATACAAATACATTTCAGTACTAAGTAGAAAAGTATTTAGTTGGCGAAAGCCATTTTAACCGGCTTATATCAATAATAACATAATGTTATTAACTGTATCTTACAAACGGGCAAAGAGTCGTGATATTTTTATTATATTAACTCGAGGCTCTATATAAAAAATGTCTGACGAGAGAAGAGTGAACACATTTAATGAACTGTCCCCGTCACCAAAGCAATAATCTAATTAGCTGAATAATAAGAGGTGGTCGTTAAGATAATCAGTAAATTTGATAATTATCCTGCGCACAATCTTATCCTTAACTCTAAAATCGGTAAGTTTATTTCTTACATTTCGGTTCTGTAATACTTGAGGTAACGTTATATTTGCTATATCCAGTGCGGACGAATCATTTCGCTAAGTACCAGAACTCTTCAGGCTAGTATCAAAAGTTACTTGTGAACCGTGTTAGTTTGTGAAGTGTAATTTTTCATCATATTATATTTATTTCACAACACATCAGATTTCGTAACACTGTATACTGTAATTATTTATTCGTTTATTCTAAAATTATATATAATTAATTATTATTTTCTTCAATTAACCATGTTCTTTATTTAAAAAAACATGGCGAATCAGCCAGCTACTCTTCCATGGCATTATAAATAAAGTTTAGCTGTATAAAAAATAAATAAATATATTCGGTAATTACCTGAATATTGATTAATAACATTCAGGCTAGAATGAAAATGGAATAGAAGATTAATCGTTCACTACGCTCAGCACGAAAATCAATCCATGTCAACAGCTAAAAGAAAAATGTGCTCAACTTTTGCAAGTGAAAAATTATACTGGAAAAATGCTTTTAAATGAAATGTAACTTAAATTCTTAAACTTTTTGTTCCTTGCGCCATCTACCCAGCAAGAATGGAACCCTGCTCATTTATGTCGATATATTTCCATATACAACCTGTGTGATACTGTGTAGTAAACACCAATATAAATATGGTTGTATCAGGTCAGCTTCTAGGACAAATAGGAATTATGTGTGCGGTAAGTGTTTTACGTAGGCCTGTAGAGTTTGGTCCTTTAAATTTAGTGAATGTTATATAATGTTAAACTACTATGACAGACAATATCCAAGTTTATGGTACCTGAACTTTGAAGTTGATGAAAGCATTAGTAATAGTACAGGATCCTCAAAAATTTTAAGTAGGTTTCCATAGACACAGAAGTATGTGTGTGTGTGCTTTCCAATGGTTGACTATTCTTCTACAAAAACACAGAAGGATTTATGTTACAGATGTAAATAAAGTATCTACATGAAAACTGTTTTAAGAAGACGTTTGAATAACCAAGACCAACACGTTTGTAAATTTCGTAAGTAGCTCTAACGATTAATCTCCTTACACAAAGGACCTAAGATGTAACAATACAAATTGTTATGGCAATCTTAATGCCCCTTATTTCTTTTTACCTTTTGAAGTTACTGTTTTTACTTGTAGTTGTGAACTGTGTCAACTTTCGATAGGAGAACATTGCTTAAGTAATTACACCAAATCTGTTTTTTTTTAATATAAGTTTGTTTGTGTGGTTCAGTATTTGCATTACTCCTTGATACCAAGTTCAGTACCTTTTATCCCATCTACATCGTTGTTTCTTTGTCTCTAACAGCTTTAGACATAAGAAGAGTTTCGCTGTTTAAAAGATGTCTTAAGTCAAAGACCAATCATTGGCTCACGTTTATGGAAGCAATGTTCACATGTCTTTCTCTCCAAACATAAGAGTTTATACACTATTTATGAAGTTAAACCGAAATAAATTTATATCGCTTAGTTTTTCTGCATCTTAGTTTTAATTTTGTTCGATTTTCTACACATCATTTTTAACTTTTAAGGTCCTATAATTCGGTTTATTGAGTTCAAGAGTTTCGGGTTACAAAAAATCAGCAAGTGGCTTATTTCATGTGTAGTTCTGACTCCCTTAATATGCGTGTAAGAGATATATCAAGCAGACATTATTAGGACTTTTCAACATCAACAGCTATCACTCAGGTTTCTGTTGATTACAGTTATGAAGAAGAAAGTTTTATTAAACTTCATTCAAAATATTTGGAAAATCTAGTTCACTCGAACTTAATATTGTTTAATATACTAGTTTTATTTTTATAATCTCGTTTTTACACTGTCATTTTGATTTGTGACTTTGTAATATTAGTAATATGAGTGATATAAATTTTTCAGAAATTACCTTCAGCTCCTGCGATAGCACTCTCACCACCAGCGCCATCTATCTGCGCGTCGATTAAAACTGTGGGTGGTATAAACTCAGTAATGCAGATAGACAATCCTGTAGAGGGATTCAGGTATCTGTATTATTTATACTCTCTAGTTGGTATTTTGTAAAATAAAAAAATTCTTAACCAATCATTTTTATAGTTTATTTTATATTCATACAAAATAGGTTTAGTTGTAAAAAATATAAACTGGAGATGAGTTCAATACCGGTTATTCCTGATATTAAAACTTAGTTTGTTATTGGAATAATATTAATTATTTATCATTGTACATTCTTAACAATAGTGGAAACACAATGACCTTGAAGGTCCTGGGTTCTAGAGTTTTGGATTAACACAAGATTTTACTATCTAACAAATACAAATAATTTGCCATTTTTTATTTCATTTGGTTAATAAACTTTTAATTATTATAACCAAAAGCTCTGTTTGTTAGTCTTCAACAACAACAACAAAAACAGCAAAAGTATATCATGTTGTGTATAAAAGTTATAAAGGTATGTGAGTCAAATTAATTACGAAATTTTTAGTATCAGTTAGCACTAAATGTTTCAAAGATTTAATTATTTATATAATTAAAATATTAATTTTAAGGATTTCCCCTGCAATCTGCAAGAAATTATGTGCCTGTTTTGATCCTCCAAATAGCAGAGGCAATGATTGGAGGAGTTTGGCTCAGGAGTTAGGTGTAGACAGGTAAAAACTTTTCTTAACATCATAACAAACAGAATAATTCTCAGAGAAATTAGTTTGTTTTTATTAATCTAAAAATAATCTCATGTCAGATAAAAATAGAAATATATATATATATATATCATGTATTGTAACAAGATAGGGTATCAATACTGATCACATAATGCTTTAGGCATAATATCAGGTAATATATAAAAAAATGTGAAGCCCAGCAAAATAAAATTGACATTTAATGCTTTTAACAATAGCATAAAGGGTTAAACTTCCCCAAACCTTGAACTTGTGTCAAAAAAACTTTAAAAATAGTTTCACAGAAAGAATAAACACTGCAGAATAAAAAAAATGAAAGAGTGATAAGCTGATTTTATTAGAAATTTTAGATCATTGGTTATTTCTTTAAAGCATACAGAAGAACAAATTTCATAATTAGTGTAAATGTAATTTAATGAAATAAAAATATACTTGAGCTTATACTTCAAATCAGCTAGTACTTGTTAACATTTTGATAGAAGTTTTAAAAAATAACATAATATGTCTTACAATTTTAACAATGACTGGACAATATGTGAGACACAAATCGGACATATGCCATTTAAAACGATTTTTATAGCAAGCTTTTGGTCTTGTTCTTTATATCATCACAAGGCTAACTGATGATGATTCTAAAAGAACAATCAAAAGCTTGCTATCTGAAATAGTTTTAACATTAGCCTGATGACAATCCTAAGAATAGGACTGAAGGCTCACCACAAAAATAACTTTTAACATTACCTTGTTTAGGATTCTAAGAATAAGATCAAAGACTTGCTATAAAGATAGCCTTAACTTGGTGCAATTTCAATTTTATGTATCTCACTGTTGTCCTTTCCCAAGTTTCAAAGATGAAATTCAATCATAAGATGTTTTTATCTGAAAGTAAGAAACTTAAGTTTTGATTAGTTGCTGTATATTTTAGTTTTTTTTTCTTAGATGTCACTCACATATCTTGCAACAGATTTGAGCAATATTTGGTTTTATTTCATTGAACTAATATGAAACAGAAAACTGATAGATTTCATTTTTCAAAACAAAACCATTCTTAGTTCATTCCTGTTATCACAATTTTATTTTTCCTTATAATTAAAACAAATAAACAGAACTATTAGTTTATTACTTTTAGCTAATTCTTCAAACTTAGGATTACTTGCTGTTAAAAGAAATTCACTAACACTAATAAAAATTAAGATATGGCAAAAATAAATATCTTTAAGACAGTGGCATCGCTAGACACTTAAAAGATTTAGTTCTCAGGCCCATGAGCATGGAAATTTTTGGCATTTCAGTAGGATATCAATGATGGTTTTTATTTGGGTTTTTCAAGACACCAACTGAGGATTCAGGGCATGCCCCCCCCCCTCCCTGTGTCGACGTACGTACGTAGTGTGTCGTCCTCGTTCGTTTCGTTTACCGTTAACCGTTTTAAGTTTTAATTATTAGTTGTAGTAA